CTATAGAAAGAGAAATTAGAGAAACGAATCCATTTACAATAGCACCAAAAACCATAAGATACCTCGGAATAAACCTAACCAAAGAGGTAAAGGATCTCTACTCTAGGAACTACAGAACACTCATGAAAGAAATTGAAGAAGACACAAAAAGATGGAGAAACATTCCAGGCTCATGGATCAGAAGAATAAAGATTGTTAAAATATCTATGCTGCCCAGAGCTATCTATACCTTCAACGCCATCCTGATCAAATTCCAATGACATTTTTCAAAGTGCTGGAACAAACAATCCTAAAATTTGTATGGAATCAGAAAAGACCCCGAATCGCCAAGGAAATGTTGAAAAAGAAAAACAAAGCTGGGGGCATCACGTTGCCTGATTTCAAGCTGTATTACAAAGCAGTGATCACCAAGACAGCATGGTATTGGCACAAAAACAGACATATAGAGCAATGAAACAGAATAGAGAGCCCACATATGGACCCTCAACTCTATGGTCAAATAATCTTCAACAAAGCAGGAAAAAATATGAAATGGAAAAAAGACAGTCTCTTCAATAAATGGTGCTGGGAAAATTGGACAACCACATGCAGAAGAATGAAACTCGACCATTCTCTAACACCATACACAAAAATAAACTCAAAATGGATGAAAGACTTCAATGTGAGACAGGATCCATCAAAATCCTAGAGGAGAACATAGGCAATAATCTCTTTGACATCACCCACAGCAACTTCTTTCAAGATACATCTCCAAAGGCTAGTGAAACAAAAGCAAAAAATGACTTTTGGGATTTCATCAAGATAAAAAGCTTCTGCACAGCAAAGGAAACAGTCAACAAAACAAAGAGGCAACCCACAGAATGGGAGAAGATATTTGCAAATGACACTACAGATAAAGGGCTGGTATCCAAGATCTATAAAGAACTTCTCAAACTCGGGCGCCTGGGTGGCTCAGATGGTTGAGCATCTGCCTTTGGCTCAGGTCATGATCTCAGAGTCCTGGGATCGAGTCCCGCATCGGGTTCCCTGCTCAGTGCAGAGCCTGCTTCTCCCTCTCCCTCTGCCACTCCCTCTGCTTGTGCTCTTCTGTCTGTCTCTCTGTCAAATAAATAAATAAAATCTTTAAAATAAATAAATAAATAAATAAATAAATAAATAAATAAATAAATAAGAACTTCTCAAATTCAACAGTCAAAAAACAAAGAATCAAGTCAAAAAATGGGCAGAAGACATGAACAGACACTTCTCTGAAGAAGACATACAAATGACTAACAGACACATGAAAAAATGTTCATCATCATTAGCCATCAGGGAAATTCAAATCAAAATCACATTGAGATACCACCTTACACCAGTTAGAATGGCAAAAATGGACAAGGCAAGAAACAACAAATGTTGGAGAGGTTGTGGAGAAAGGGGGACCCTCTTACACTGTTGGTGGGAATGCAATTGGTACAGCCACTTTGGAAAACAGTCTGGAGATGCCTCAGAAAATTAAAAATAGAGCCACCTTATGACCCAGCAATTCACTCCTGGGTATTTACCCTAAAGACACAGATGTAGTGAAAAGAAGGGCCATATGCATCCCAATGTTCCTAGCAGCAATGTCCACAATAGCCAAGCTGTGGAAAGAGCCGAGATGCCCTTCAACAGATGAATGGATAAAGAAGATGTGCTCCATACATACAATGGAATATTACTCACCATCAGAAAGGATGAATACCCAACTTTTACATCAACGTGGATCAGACCGGAGGAGATTGTGCTAAGTAAAATCAGTCAAGCAGAGGAAGTCAATTATCATATGGTTTCACTTATTTGTGGAACATAAGGAATAGCATGGAGGACATTAGGAGAAGGAAGGGAAAAATGAAGGGGTGGAAATCAGAGGGAGAGATGAACCATGAGAGACTATGGACTCTGAGAAACAAACTGAAGGTTTTAGAGGGGAGGGTGGTGGGGGGGTTGGTTAGCCCAGTGATGGGTATTAAGGAGGGCACGTACTGCATGGAACACCAGTGTTATACAAAAACAATGAATCATGGATCACTACATCAAAAACTAATGATGTATTATATGGTGACTAACATAACATAATAAAATAAAATTTAAAAAAAGAGTGTGAAAAGACAACCTGTAAAATGGAAGAAGCTATTTGTAAAGTATATATTTGATAAGGGTCTAATATCAGAATATATAAAGAACTCTTACAACTCAACCACAAAAATCAAACAACCCAATTTAAAAATGGGCAAAAGATTTGAACAAACATTTCTCCAAAAAAGGTGTGTGTGCGCGTGTGTGTGTGTGTGTGTCTGTTTGTGTGAGAGAGAGACAGAGCACATGAAAAATATTCAGCATCATTAGTCATTAAGGAAATGCAAATTTAAACCACAATGAGATACATTTCATATCCACTAGGATGGCTATAATTTTAAAAATGGAAAATAAGTGTTGGCTAGGATGTAAATAAATTGGAATCCTTGTGGGAATCTTACAATGGTGCAACCACTGTGAAAAGTAGTTTGGTGGTTCATCAAAAAGTTAAACACAAAAGTACCATATAACCCAGCAATTCAGCTCCTAAGTATCTCCCAAAAAGCATTAAAAACAGATATTTAAACAAAAGTACGTACATGAATGTTCATAGCAGCACTATTCACACTGCCAAAGGTGGAAGCAGCCCAAGTATCTATCAATGGGTGGATGGATAAACCAAATCTAGTACATCCATACAGTGAAATATTATTCAGCCATAAAAATAAAGTGCTAATAGGGCGCCTGGGTGGCTCAGTTGGTTAAGCGACTGCCTTTGGCTCAGGGCATGATCCCAGGGTCCTGGGATTGAGCCCGGCATCGGGCTCCCTGCTCCGCGGGAAGCCTGCTTCTCCCTCTCCCACTCCCCCTGCTTGTGTTCCCTCTCTCGCTGTGTCTCTCTCTGTCAAATAAATAAATAAAATCTTTAAAAAAAAAAATAAAGTGCTAATACATTCTACAACATGGATGAATCTTGAAAACATTGTACCAAGTAAAAGAAATTAGACACAAAAGGTTATATAATGCATGATTTCATTTATATGAAATATTTCAAATAGGTAAATGCATAGAGACAGAAAGGAGATTAGTGCTTGCCAGAGTGTAGGGGAAATGGAAAATGGGGAGTAACTACTTAATGGGTATGGTATATACCCATCAAAGTAATGGGTATATACCATATAGTATGGTATATACTCAAAGGTATATACCTTTTGAGATGATGAAAATGTTTTGGAAATAGATAGAGGCAATGGTTTTGCAATATTGTGAATGTATTAAACACCACTTTAAAGTGGCTACTTTGGGCGCCTGGGTGGCTCAGTTGGTTAAGCAACTGCCTTTGGCTCAGGTCATGATCCTGGAGTCCCTGGATTAAGTCCCACATCGGGCTTCCTGCTCGGCAGGGAGTCTGCTTCGTCCTCTGACCCTATCCCCTCTCAGGTGTTCTCTCTCTCTCATTCTCTCTCTCTCAAATAAATAAATAAAATCTTTAAAAAAATAAATAAATAAAATAAAGTGGCTACTTTTATATTACGTGAGTTTTACTTGAATAAAAAAGTCAGATTGTCAGATTGGATAAAAAGCAAGACCCAGTTATGTGCTACTGCCTACAATAAATGTACTTTAAATATAAATATATAAACAGGTAAAATTATGGAATAAAATATGCCATACTAATACTAGTCAAAAGAAAGCTTTAAAAGCTGCATCAACAAAAGAGAAAATATATTTAAGAGATAGTATGATGTATCCATGCAGTAGAATACTACTTGATTAAAGAGAATAAGCCCTAAGTACCTGCAACAAGAATGAATCTCAAAATAATATTGCTGAGTGAAAGAAGTTGTACAAAAACAGTATATACTCTGCACTTCCATTTGTATAAAACTCTAGAAAATGCAACTAATCTATGGTAATAGAAAATGGATTGGTGACTCCTTGAAGAGGATGGGATGAAGGAGTGACAAACAAGCAGAAGGAAACTTTTGGGAGTGATGTGTACTTTCACTGTCTTAAGATTGGTTATTGTTGTAGAGACATAGACATAAGCTAAAACTCATCAAATTTTATATTTCAAATATGTACTGTTTGTTGAATGTCAATTTTACCTTTAAAAAGCTGTTAAAAGATGTGTTAAGTTGAATCTTGCCTCATGGCTGGATAGGAAATTAAAATAAGCACCACTCCCCCCAAAATATTAAGTGCTTATTAACAAAATTGCCAGACCCTGGTCAACAGTGAGCATCTTAATAAAACTCAAAGATAACAAATATTTTATAAATACTGTTCAATTTTACCCCCATCGTCATTCAAAGCAGTAACCCATATTTTCAAGAATCTGGTAGTTTTCCAGACATTGTCTGGGCCAACTACTATCCCAGCACACATCCACACACACACTAAACCCACAACAGTGAGGAGGTCACTGCTTAGTAGTCAAACAGCACAGTGGTTTGGGGGCTGTCTTTGGCCTCAGAGTACCATGGGTTCAAGCCCCAACTCTACCACTTTCTGGAAGTGTGACCATTCATAAGTTATTTTCCTTTCTGAGTCTTGTTTATTTCTTATACATAAACATCATAATAGTCCCTACATCTCCAAAGCTGAGGTGAGGACAAAATAACATTCACTTAGCAGGTAAAATGGTCAACAAGTGCTCATTATTACTAGTATAATTATCAATTCAACAAGATTTCAACTTTACAAAGCAGGGCCTTCCATTCATGTAAATAGTACTAAAGAATAGGGAAAAATATACTAAAAGTGACAGGGACTGCTACCCTTGCTTTCCCCAAGTCCATGGGAGAAAACACTAACCCAACTAGTCAAGGGATCTGAAGAAGCTGGACAGACACTTAGCCTTGAATATAAGGCCTTAATAGCTGCACCACAAATTGGTGCTTTGGGGAAATGGAGGGAATGAAGGACCACTAGGATCACGCCAGCAACCCCCTCTGTGGTCATCACTTTGGCCTGAGCCCAGCTCTGCTGAGCACTTTGGCCAAAGCCATCTGTACCTCCCGGTTCCTCAGACTGTAGATAAGGGGGTTGAGAGTAGGGGTGACAAGGCTGTAGAATAGGGAGATCACGTTGTCCTGGAGTGGGCTATGGTAAGCACCCGGCACCATGTATATGAACACAGCTACACCATAAAAGAGTCCCACCACTGTGATGTGTGAGGAACAGGTGGTGAAGGCCTTGTTTCGGGCCTCCTCTGAGTGCATGTGTATAACAGCCCCCAAAACGTGGCCATAGGAGATGGCAATGAGGGAAAGGGGAAGCACAAGGATCAGCACCCCCAAGGTGGACAGCACCAACTCCATAGGCTGAGGTGTCTGCACAGGACAGCTTCAGCAGGGCTGGCACCTCGCAGAAGTGGTCCACGATGCGGGAGGCACAGTAGGGAAAGTGCAGAGTGATGGAGGTCTGGATGGAGGCGTTGAGCACACCTGCCAGCCAGGAGGACCCCACCATGAGCAGGCACACCTGGCGCCTCATGAGCACAGGATACTGCAAAGGGTGACACACAGCAACATAGCAGTCATAGGACATGAGGGTCAACAGGATGCCCTCAGCCATGCCCATCAGGGTCAGGAAGAATATTTGAGCTGCACAACCCCCGAAGGAGATGGAACCTTCTCCCTGCAGGAAGTGGGATGCCATCTTGGGGATGGTGACCAGGGGGAAACCAACATCAAACAGAGAGAGCTGGCTGAGCAGAAAGTACATGGGTGTGTGGAGCCTGGAGTCCAGGCAGATCAGGACAAGCAGAATGGTGTTGCCCAGGAGGCCCATGGCAAACATGGCAGCCACCAAGGAGAAGAGTAGCTGACGTGACCCTGAGTGACTGAAGAGGCCCACCAGAATGAAGTCAGAGGTCACTGATTGATTCACATCCCCCATGTTTTACACAACGTACTTTTGCTGCAGGAAAGAGACCAAATGCAAGGAAAGAGACAAACTGCAACTGAGTTTCGACCCACGTGCCAATTGCCATCACTTGGTAGTGGCTGCCTGGAGAAGTATTATGAGGTCACAGCTAGAATCAGCAGTTGGAAATGCCATGATCAATTAGTGATGTCTGTCATAGGCATGGGAAGGGAGAGCAGCAGCTTGCATCTCTGAACGAGATACTTGGCCACACCCCAGTGAAAAGCTACCCACTGACTCTTGAGGTCCAAACACTGAAGTCCCAGTCAAAGACAGTAACTTAGCTCCAGTAGAATATTTGAATACCACTCCTCCTAATGGTCCTGGGTCCAAAAGCAGAGGTGAGAGTCCAAAAAGGCAGGGAGGTAAAATAGAGGATGATGAAGATGAAGCAATAAATCAAGGAAGAAAACAGAGAAAGGCCTAGGTCCAAGTGCCTGGATGAGAATCTGAAGGAAAGAGAAATTAATTATGAGCCTACACAGGGTCACATTGAGGATATGAATCTAGGGAGTGTGAGCCATAGAGGGTGGCTATGGGTGACAGCAGGTTGGGGATGAAATGGCCTGGGGTTGGGTGGGGGAGGACAGTTGTCAGTGAACTCAGCAATTATTGGTGACTTTGTTGCGTTGGATGAAGAGTGAACTTGTGAGTGGTCAGACTCAATTTCAAGTAAGGTACCAGGCCTAGAAGATTGTCTGTAATAAATATTGCCTGGATGAATGAGTTGGCCAAGAAAGATGACCATGGGCCAGAGGGAGCTACACATTTAAATTTGGGAATACTTAATTCTCTTGGCAACCTCTAAGCCCCCAGGAAAATCCAGCTTGCCCTGGAATACCATGCACCATCCACAACTCCCAACAGTGGACAATGCAAGACCAAAAGAATGTCTATTCTCAACTGCAGATAATTAGAAAAGCAACAAGACTGGCCATTTAAGGGCAAGTGGATTTTACTGAAGGCCTCACTGGAGCTCTTTGTCCTAAAGCTGCCGAAGGCCTTTAGGGTTGTTAATTATCCACCATCCTGATTTTCCTATCACATCCTAGCTCCCAACCTACCATTCACCCATGCATTCAATAACATTAGTCACAAGCTGGTCTGGGCATAAGACATTCAGAGGTGAATCACCCTAGGCAAGTTCCCCATTCTCCATCAGGATATTGATGACAAGTGAGGAGATAAATGGACAAGATCTTTGTGACAGAGGGAAGTGAATAAGATGTTCTGTAGGAAATGGCTGGAAACACCACTGGGCATAGTCAGAGAAGCCTCTTGGGACAGATGACCCATGCCCTCAGTATCTGAAGAGCTACTGTGAGAGGGATGCACCAGAACCAACTGCTTCATGCTCCTGGAAAGTGAATGTTAGTGAGGCCATCTGGGTGGTTCACCTTAACGAAGAACTCTCTAACAGTGAAATCCAACCAAGAATGAAATAGGCTGCCTCATTGGCAGCATTTTCTAAAAAGTCAGTCAATGGTATTAGGAAGTAAGATAATAGTCCTGTGGCTATAGAAGTTAGAGTTTGAGAGGGAAAGCAGCATTGATCAGATCATTTCAGAATAATCTAATCAGCAATATAATAGAGACACATGCACAATGCTGTAAGTACCCAGGGAATGGGGTCAGAGAGGGCTTCAGAGAGGAGGAAGCATTGGAGCTGGGTTTTGAAGATCAGGTAGGAGTTTTGCAGGCAGCCAGAAGAAGGAAAGTTGTTCCAGGCCAAAGAAATGGAGCACATGCAATTTGTGATTAGGAGAGTGTACCCAGAGGTCAGATTAAAATGAGCTTGGATCCCAGCTCAACTACTTTGTAGCAGCATGACATTGTGTAGCTACTTAACCTCAGTTTCTTCATCCATAAAGTGGGTGGCAGAAATATGTGTCAAGGCATAATTGTGAAAATTAAATAAAAGGATGAATGTTGGGGCACCTGGGTGGCTCAGTCAGATGAGCGTCCAGCTCTTAGTTTCAGCTCAGGTCATGATCTCAGGGTCCTGGGATGGAGCCTGGCATCGGGCTCCACACTCAGCACAGGGTCTGGTTGAGATTCTCTCCCTCCTCCCGCTCACGCTCACCCTCTCTCTCAAATAAACAAATAAAAATTTTTTTTAAAAAGGATGATTGTTAAGAGCTGACATGTAGCAAGTGCTCAATAAATTGTAAATTATCATATATAATAAATACAATTCATATAATTATGCACAATATCTATAAATTATATAATTGTTATAGAATTATTACTAATTCTCTAGATAGGGAAAGCATTAGAGATCACTGGCTGATCTCTGGTACTTAGCACAGTGCCAGGCACATAAAACACTCTCATCAGTATTTATTAGAAGTAGTAGTAGTATTGTTATTATTATTCAACATTGTGGCCTCTTCCATGGTCAAGCCTGACCCTGTCCAGCTCTGTCATCTTCTTTAGTGTTGCTCTGTGATGCCCTCGTCCATACTGTGTTAAAACCCACCTGCCCTTTTTCTGGCCTCTAAGATCCCTTAGCAGAGTCTTCAAAACCCCATTCATCCCCAGATCCATTGCCTTACAACAGGGTTTTTCCACTGTGGCATTATTTGAGGACAGATAAATTTTGTCATGGGAAAATGTCCTTTGCATTGTATGAAGTTTAGCAACATCCCCGGCTTCAGTCCACCAGATGCCAGCAGCAGCCCCCAACAACCGCCCCTCGTCATGGAAACCAAAACTGGTTCCACATGTGGGCAGATGTGCCTAGTGAGGAGGAATCACCCACAGTTGAGAACTTCTGGTTTACAGGGCAATTGTGACCTGCACAGGCTTTACACAATTCCTCTTCCAGATGTTTATTCTTAAATTGGTTTGAGCTCAGACCCAGCATAAATCCTGGGAGTACCTTACCATTTCCATGTCTCCATACAGGAAAAAAAAAAATTCTTGCAATTTCCTGCCATCTTATAGACAATCAATTCCCCCAAACACCAAGTATCTCCACCAGTGAAATAGCTTTTACCACAGGCTCCTGTCAAGAGCTATATAAGTGTCCAAAAGAACCTGGTCTTTCTCTGTCCACTCACACATCACCACCCTGAAGAAGCTGACACCAATTGAGTACTGACTGTGTAGAAGGCATCTGGCTAACTGTTTTACATGCTTAACACTATAATCTTCAAGTCCTGGAGACAGTTGGTAGAGATGGATGCACAGCAATGTGAATATACTTAATACCATGAACAGTACACTTAAAAGTGGTCAAAATTGTAAATTTTGTTCTGTATATTTTATCACAATAAAAAAATCTATGGGTAGGCATTATTTATCTGTATTTTTTGGATGAGAAGACATAGACAGGTTCAGAGAAGTGTAGTGACTTGCCCAGCACCACCCAGCAAAGAAGTAACAGCCAAAATTTGAACAGAATAGGAATCTGATTCCAAAGTGTCTGTTTTTCCCTTGACATTCCACACACTCCCCCAAACACTGTAATAGACATTTCAGGATTTGTTGCAGATGTTCACATACTCAGTCCTATATGCCCCCAAATTTGCCTTTCCTTCTGGGGTGCCCAAGTGTTCCCCCTGTTATACAAATGCCCAGGTTTTGGGGATCTCTAGCCAGCAGTTACTCAGTGGCTGGAGAGTCTGGTTGTGATCCCCTTGTGTCCTGAGCTTTTGACAAACTCTTAACCATCAAGACCTCTTTTGGAAAAGGATTGCCATCCATCCAACCTCCCCAACCTGCAAGTTAGACAGGCAGAGCCAGGCAGAGGTAGCCACAACTCACTCAAACCTGGGCTAAATCATCTGTGACTCCTAAATCAGTACTTTTCTTCTGGGTTGAAGAGAAGCACCTTTGGCAAGTTTCCAACATGCAATTTTACCACTTTCTTTCCCATTATCCTCAGTAATGCCAAACTTGGGGCTGGGCATCCCTTTGTTGATGCAAAGTGACCAGGGAAAAGACACCAGCATTGTTCACTTCCTGTTGCCCATACAACTTTCATATTTCTCCACCATGACCAGGTGTGATCTGGGCCCTTGGTTACCTGCCTAATCAAATGACAGTTTGCAGGACATTATCATTTATATTGTTTAATACTCACCTCCAATCACACCAGCTCAAGGATCCACAGCAGAGCTTGCTCAATAAATAGTTGCTGAGGGCGCCTGGGTGGCTCAGTTGGTTAAGCGACTGCCTTCGGCTCAGGTCATGATCCTGGAGTCCCTGGATCGAGTCCCACATCGGGCTCCCTGCTCGGCAGGGAGCCTGCTTCTCCCTCTGACCCTCCCCCCTCTCATGTGCTCTCTGTCTCTCTCATTCTCTCTGTCTCAAATAAATAAATAAAATCTTTCAAAAAATAAAAATAAATAAATAAATAAATAGTTGCTGAGTGAATACATTCTGTAAGGGAAGCAATATTTTGGTTGGAACTAATGTTACTGACAAATGGGCTAAGGAAGGGTATGTGACTTACCTAAACTTGCACAGCTACTGAGAGGACAGGCTAGGATTTGGAAACAGTACATCCCTGGATGCTGCCTCTTTCTTGTAGTCAGTGCTTAGCTCCTGTGTCCAGGAGGTCAGAACTGAGAACTCCTCTGGGGGATCACTGTTGTGGATGGCTGGTCCTCAGGAGGTAAGCTGAAGGTGCCCCCAACCCCTGCCAGATGGGTTGTTCTGGTACCAGCCCCTTGATCAAGGTCAGGTGCCCATGTGTGGCTGCTTCCAAATGTTTTTATGGAAGGTCAACATGAGATGACCTCCAACATGGATTGAACATCAACATGGATGACCTTCTGCTGTCTAGAGACCTGGCCATCTTGGGTTCACAACAGTGAAGACAGACAAGGAAAGAATAAGCATTCAGTAAAAAAAAGACAACTGCCTGGAGGTGGGCAAATGTCAAAAGAAGTGGACAAGAATTCATCCTTCCACTCAATACCTGTCAACCTAGCTTGTCTATGGGAAACAATATCACCAGTTGCTCAGATCCATCCCGCCACTAATGTCTAATCT